GGGGCACGGACTCGGCCTGGCGCCACCCAGCGGGCTGCCTGCGGCCCCGGGGGCTGCGCCCAGGCCCCCGCACTCCAAAGACGCCGTCGCCGCCGCTGCTCATCACTCTCCAGGTCTCCGTTTTGTTGTTCGTCCTCCTCCTCCGTTCTTTTCTCTGTCGTGTTTGGTTCCGTGGCCGCTGGACCCTCCCCCCGGCGCGGCGGGGGCAGGCCTGCCCGGCGGGCACCAGGAGGCATTGGTCAGTGGAGCGCCGCAAGGGCAGGACCCGGGCCTGAGGCACTGCTGGGCGCCTGCCTGCCTTTGGCGTCCCCGGCTGCTTGGTTCTACCCAGCTGGGGGCAAAGATTTCCCCCGCCCCATGCCCCACTGCTGCCCTGGGGGCAAGCTCTCCCCCCCCCCATCCGCGGGGCCGTGGCTGGGAGCGATGCCTCCTGGGCAGAGCAGCTGGCCCGTGCCCTTGAGGCCACCCGGAGAATCGTGGTGGTGGCTCCAGTGCCCAAAGCTCTGCTGTGCCAGGTGCCCCGTGGCCTCTTCCCACCCTGGGCTGGGCTCGCACCTGATTTTTAAGTATCTCCCACATGAATTTTAATTGCACTTGGGGGTGACTCACTCCAGCCAGCCCCCTCTCCCCAAGACCCTGGCCCGGCAGAGCGTGGCTGGTGCTGGTGCTGCTGGCGAGCGGGGCTGGTGCGTCCTCTGTCTCGTGGCGTCTTTTTCCTCCCCTGGCTCGTATCATGGAGAAGCCCAGCTAGTGATTCCCCGACCCCTGCCCTGGAGGAGCCGTGTCTTCCCTTCCCACCCTGTTGGGTGAGGCCCCTGCCCCTACCCTTTCCCCCTCCCCGGCAGGGCTGGGCCCTGGCGATGCCTCCACGTGGCCTGTTGCCCGGGCGTGAGGAGCGCGCTGGTCCCGTGCCTTCCCGCGTGTGCACGCGCCATCCTGCCCAGGCCCTAACTGACCGTAGCAGGGAAGCAGCCGCGCCCGGTGCCCTAGAGCTCTGGCCGTCGGCAGTCGTGTTGCATGATGTCTGGAGGGGCCACGGGGATGCCCGGCCCCCTGTATAGTTCACACATATGCATGCCTGTATGACCAGCTTGGGACGTGGTATTGGCCGACTCGAGCCAGCTGTGGGGTGAGGGGGGTGGGGCGAGGGGGTCTTTGTGCTCAGCTGATTACTGCCATGCACTGTACTGCACATGTCCGCGCGCCGCAGCAGCACCGTAAGGCTTTCGGGGCGCCTCTCCCTTCCCCTCGCCTGCCCGCCGGCCCAGCTGGAGGGGGAGGTGGGGTCTGCGCGGCCAGCCGGGCTCGAGCTCCCCTCTCCGCTAGGTGCCCGGGGCGCAGGATCCTTCCCACGCCCTCGGCCAGGACTCTCCCAGCCCCGCGGCCATGAGAACAGCCCCCAGCCCTGGTGCTCGTGAGCTTCCTGCAGGCACAGACTGGCCCTGCCCTGGGGTGGGCGCACGGGGAGCAGCCGCTGCTGGGAAGCCCGGGCTGGGCCCAGGTGCCTTCCCCTGCCCGCGTGGGAGGGGACGGGAGGGGGCTGCGGTGCCCGGGGAGAGTCTGGCCCAGCGGCACCCTGCCCACGCGGCCTCCTTCCCGCGGGCACCAGCTCTCAGCAATACCGCGTGGAAGCCGCCTGGCGGGAGCCCGGCTGCTCTCAGGAAATGCGGCCCCGGGGCGAGGCGTGGCGTTGCAGGAGGACCCGGCCCGGCCCCAGGCTGCGGGAAGGGCCGGGGCTGCGCCACGTGCCGCCGACGCCTTCGCGCCCTTGCACCGTGTGCGTTGTGGGACTTGCCCAACGGCAGCTTCCGATTGGCTGGAGGGAGGGACCGCCACCCCCTCCCGGCCAATCCAGGCGAGCCGGGCTGGTTCCCGCTGCCCTTTCGAGATGACCCGCTCCCTTCCTGGCCCTCTGATTGGCCCGCGCAGTGCCGTTTCCCCTCGCCTCGACCTCCCCGTCCGCTCGGGCGCGGGGCAGGTGCCAGGGGAGGGCGGAGCACACCAGCACCCCGGGCCGGCGGCTCCCTCGCCCCAACCCCGACCTCCCGCGTGACACGAATAACCAAAGCTCTTTACTGTACATACGGCAGGTGTTTCTATGTTTCTAGCCAGTCGGAGCAGTGTTGATGCCCCTCTGTTTTAAACCCCCGTCCCCGTCCCCGCCCCTCGCCCCTCCCTCCCGCCCGGCGCCCCCGGGCGCTCTGGAAAGCCTTACGGTCCTGTTGCCGGCGCCTCGAAAGCTCACAGCTCGTGTGCTGCAGAATTTACTCCGAGGAGCAGCTAAAAGTATCATTTAAAAGACGAAATAATAAAATACGAAGAAGAAAAAAAAAGACAAAAAAATACTTAAAACAATTATCTAGGGTGTTTGTGATTGCTGATTGCGCTGTAGATACCACTGTTTACCAATGATTTCCTGTGGTGGGATAGTGGACTGTTTACTGTTCTATTATACCAGTCCCTCGGCCTTCCAGCGGGACATCCCCGGCCCCTGGACGGCGCCCGGACCTGTGTTCTGTGTTAGAAAGTCTTATATATATATATATCTATATACGTGGGTACAGCGCTATATACATATATATATATATATATATAAATCTAATTTTTTTTTGCTCTGTTACTTGCACATTTTACAGTTACCTCATTTTCCCCATGTATGTATTTGAGAAAAAAAAAAAGGCTAATATATAGAGAAAAAAACAAAGGTTCTTAAAAGCTCTAAAAGTGTTTGTTTTTCTTTTGGGTTTTTGTTTTTTGGGGTTTTTTTTCTCCATTCCATTGGAATCGCATTGGTTTTGTAGCATCGCCCCTCCCTCGTCTGTTGTATTATATATATGTGTATTATACTGATGGAAATTTTTAACAGATTTGTACTTTTTTTAAAATGAAAGTTGCTAGTTCTGCTTGACCGAGTAGTGCAATCATTATTTTTTTTAATGTTGTGGCTGATTTTGAGAGGGATATTCACTAATAAATGTATGATGTATACCGCCGCGCCGCACCCGCCTCCCGCCTCTCTCTCCCGGGCTGGGCCAGGGGGGCACGTGGGAGACGGGTTGGGGGACGAGGGGGCCCTGCTGGGTGTCGGCCAGTGGCTGCGTGGGCCCGTGGGAGCCCAGCACCCAGCACGTGGCTCTTGGTCGGCCTCCAGCGTGGTTGTCGGGCACTATTTTCTAGCATACAACGTGCACCTTCCCCATTCGGGGTGCGTGTGTGCAGCGAGGAAGTTGATTTTCTGCCTGGGGAGGAAGCTCTGGTTTGATTCCTGCT